GCGTTAATTGATTTTTAACTTCATATTTATACATACATAATCTCATTATTTTGTCCAGTGGTCACACCATAACTTAATTTTATTGTTGTGCTATGACAAATAAAAAGCCTTTTAAAGATTGATCATATTCATAGTTTGAATATACTGTAAAAGATATTTGTATTCATCATTCACAAAAGCACAGAACATTAACTGTATTGTGCATTCTAGTGTTTTTGAAGAATTGTGACTGGGACATTTTCCATGTTTCCATGTCCCTACTCTCTGGTGGGTAAATTCCTGTGTGTGTTGGTGACACAGTTTCTAAATTATCTCAGACCTTGTTTTGTGTTTCTCTTATAAAATTCTGTGTCATTTATCAGACGACGTCACTTATTTTAGCAGGATTTACTGTATACATAATAGAATAATAGCTGCACAGTATCAACCGGAACAATTTATCGGATTAAGTTGGCACAGAAAAGTCGATTCATGCACAAATAAAAAAATAATCAGCTTGAATAAAGTTTGAGCATTACTATAATAAATTGCCACAATGAAGTTGTCCAGTTAAAGAAAATTATTAATGTAAACTTTTTTTTAAGATTATTGATTATTGATTATCTTTGTGTCCTGTCAGGATTTGAAGCAGTTAAAATGTCTGTGTGCCCTAAAATCTTAGAGAACCATCACTTATCTGCTCCAGTCTTCCGTGTGTGTGTGTGTGTGTGTGTGTGTGTGTGCGCTGAATTATACTGAATGGGAGTATGATTATATCTCTCCTGCGTGAGATTAGAGGGAGGGGCAGTGTAATCAGGTTACAGTGGCAGTCAGAGAGGAAAAGATTCACTGGATTATATTAACAGTGTTTGATTGAACATCACATGTTTAACCTACATATACTGTATGGGAATGTTCCTACGTGAGTGATCAAATGTTAAAGATGTGTTATTATTAGATATAGGTAGAGACAGATAATAAAATATCACATGTTCTGTGTGTCAGGGGCTTTAAATGCAGATGAAACCTCGAACCTCGAAACCATGAAGACACAAAAAAGTGATTAGACACAAAGTTTGATCAAAACGAAATCAAGACTCCTCCGCCTCCGTTTTGCACTTCATCCCAGTTCAGCTCCAATCTCCAAAACCCCTCTGGGTGATTTCAGGCCGTGGGGGGGAGGGGTGCCACCACCCCACTCCCGAGAGGAACGCCTGCTGATGCCATGCCAGCTGCAAACCCAGTAATCCCTGGATTATAAACTCTGGATTACAGACCATTTCTGCCCCGTCCGCTGGCATTGTGGATTCCTCACATTAGATGCTAAGCACACAGAGCGTGCAGTCAAGGCTCGCCGGGCGCTGCAACCCAGCACACCACTGTTTTATTCTGAGATAAATCCAATCGATTCACCGCTGGTCATCTACGACTGCTGAACACTCCCCTCGCAAAACAGACGACGCCTCCCTCTGTTCGGAAGATGAGGAGAAGATTGGAAATAGGACGAGAATTTTTTTCCACAACTTCAGAACAATGAAATTATAAGAACCTTTAAGAAGCTGTGAATGTGTGACAAAAAAGATTAAGGAGCATAACATGATTCCCCCCCCACCCCCCACCCCTCTCCCCTGAGGGCTCCTATTCAGGATTTGTGGCCACGTTCTTCTCACTAAATATACTTGTGTTTGACATGTGCTTAAACCATCACAGCTGATCAGTTACATTCAACTACTGGAGGTGGTCAGTTAAAAATACTTCTCTCATTATATTTAGACATAGAAGAAAATCACACGACAGTGGAGGGAGAGAAATAATGTGATTTTCATCAATAAGCCTAATTTACTGCAAAATTATTGGGTGGATGATAGATATACAGAAAGAGATAGAAAGATAGAGCGATATGAACAGACAAATAGATAGAACGATAGATATACAAGTGGAAAGATAGGTGGACATGTAGATGGATAGATGGATACAAAGAAGATACATGATAGATAGATGGATAAAGATGGATGGATAGATAGATAGAGGGATAGATAGATAGAGGGATAGATAGGTGGATACATAGGTGGATACATAGATGGATACATAGATGGATACATAGATGGATAGATGGATGGATGGATACATACATGGATGGATACATACATGGATAGATAGATGGATACAGATGGAGAGATGCATGGGGAGTCACCGTCACTGGTCTGGTCTGAGACCATCTGGAAGAGGCAGAGACAGTTCATTACGCTGCGGCGTGGCAGGACAAGCTTCCACCTAATGAAACAGGCCGAGCAGAGCTGTATTAAATCACACACAACAGTAAGCTGCTCTCTCTCCAATCTGCACTCTGCATCCCCACAGTGGGTCAGTGGCACAGCAGACACAACGCACAGTCGCTCAAGCAGCAAGTTCACTACTGGCTGGAAGCCAGGGCTCCAGTTTCTGTGTGCGCGTGAAATATTGTCACCGTTACATAAGTGACATCTATGTCATGTGATGTGTCAGATTTCTAGACACAACATCGGCAAACAAAATACTGGTGGTGAGTGAGTAGCCACTGGCTGAACAATAAATCTCCACATGTGCTCAACGCTTCAGCAGCTTCAGCTTGATTCGTCCGAAGTATCAGCAAAAACAACACGGGTGTGGCAACCTAACATTGTTTGAAAATCAATTGATTTGATTAGACTTCAACTGGACATTCTGTTTCAATGCATGCAAGACAAGCAGTTTAATCTTCGAACCAGTTAATTTAATTTGAGGAATGTACAGTATGTGTACATATAAGATATTATAAAATTTCAATATATGAATAGATTTGGACTCCAGCATGTTTAGGGAACTGATATTTATGAGGGTGTTTGGCTGCAGATCCATTTAAGAATCTGGTGAATTTAAGCATAAGAGAGCATATTTTATTTCCAGTAAATATCTCGATATTTCAAAAATGTTTCATTTCTCCTAACACAGAGTGTCTTAAATAGAACAGCAAGATTCTCTGAGTAAAACTTAATTAGCAAGGGACCTATTTCTTGGTCGCTCGGAAGTCCGTGGGCGTATGAGTTTAACAATGCACGAAAATCCTAAGCACTAGCCCAAACAACAGTTCACGGTCGGAAGAACAAAAGCAGGAAGCCGGTAACTGATGAATTTTATCAGGCAGCGGAAGACAAAAGAGCCTCAGCCGCTCTAAAGGTCATTGTTCGACTCTCCCCAACCTGCAGCAGAAACAGGAATGGAAACGTGTGCGCTCGCACTGCTAATGCCTACACTCGGGCCCACATGCACAAATACTGATGACTGCATTACCAGATGAAAGAAGCTCAGACTTTAAATATAAAACGTGGCTGCAGGGTTTAGAATCCGGGTTTACTTAATCTGCAGAGGAGGCTTTGTTAAAAATGAAGGATCAAAGTGTTCATGAATATAAAAATAACACAAAAAAATGAAGACGTGCACTTTTTGGAGCATTAATATCAAAATGGCAGCATGCACAAGAGCATGCAGGGCCCTAATTGGCTGGCGTTCACAAACTACTGCATGTTCCCGGTGATTCACAGTAAGCGGGGCGGAGGCGAGGGTGATGTTATGGCAGATGACAAGTGGTGTCCTTTTGACTCAGTGTTACCGAGGCGGGACCGAACACGGCCGAGCGTGGCACCTGTCCATCTCTTGCCGATGCTCAGAGGGAGGGGAGTCGCTCCAGCTGCAGGCTTGGCAGAGAGGCAGGATATCAAACAAATTATTACTCGTATCAGAAAACGGTTTTATCCACAGGGGGCCAGCAAGACACAGAGATTCTGCCAGTTTTCCTCTGAAGGGAAACATTTCCAACTTCCTGCTTGAAGATGATATGAATGGTCTTCTAAACAAAATTGGCGTGATTAAGGAACCAATGGTCCAGGTGCATTTGGAGCCATGAAGCCGGACATATTCAAACAACCCTCATTCCATAAAATGCACAATCGTTAGCTCGATCAACCGCAGCGTCCTGATTTTGCTGGTTTAGCACTGCAGCACCAATCAAGTGATCTCTCCTCAATCCATCACGTCAGCAGGCCATTGATTTTAACTTCCAGAGTGTAGGAGGAGTTCATCGGGATTAGTCAACCTTTTTCCGGCCTGTGGGAATTTTTCTGATTGCCAAACCCTTTCACGACTGCAGCAAGTAGAAAGCTGACAAGTTGTCAAATGGTTTTTATCGTGATCTAAAAAAGCTACAATATTGAATATATGTATAATTAAAGAAGCAATATAACTGCATATACTCATATATCAGATTCCCACGAGCACATCCAGACATTAAACATGTTAACATAGTAACTTTAATCCCATGATAATCTGAGATATATGAACTCAACACCAGCGTCTAACACTATTAAATCAATGTGTGCGTCACTGTGAAAGTCACTCCGAGGAGGTTACGTTAAATATCCGCTGATGGTAAATTTCCCATGCAGATGGGGGATCACATGGCATCAGCCAGAGGATCCTAATCCCATACTCCCAATCTGGTGTCAGGTTCCAGTGCAAACGGTGCACGGATGGAGGATACGGGGAGAAACTAGGACAGATATGGCTGCCGGGGTGAAGGGTCAGCAGACTGGAATAGAGCTGATGAGGTGGGAGCCTTCAATCGGTGGATATCTGAGGGGTTTTCCACGAAGAAATTAGGGTGCTATAATATCTGACACTGGACGCCCCCCCTCTTTTAGCTCTTAAGTAAAGGCTTTAAAATACTATATATATATATATCAATCAGAAAAACGTTTAAATCGGATTCTGTGGCATTAGAGGAAGTTGTATTTACTTATTTCTCCAAAGAAAGGCTCAAAATAAGGAGAAACTTTCACCAGAACGTCCCATCGCAACCTCAATTTTAATCCGATCTCGCAACTAGTTTAAAAACCTTTTTTAGATTGTGTATTTGATTTCCTGCAGCTAAATTTGTGACACATGTAGGTCAATATGATGTGCTCATACATGCCGATTATCCCCGGGACTGTGTGCCAGTCCTCAGGGTGCACTGGGACCAGCCCATGCACGGCACAACCAGGTCAGATGTAAGTAGTGGTGGGTCCTTCAGTGGGTGAGGAGGAAGAAGAGATGGTGCCCAAAGGTTTTAAAGGGATAGTTCACCTGAAAATGAAAATTCCCACAAAACAAGGTCATTTACACCATGTTTTTAACCTAAATGTGATCGTGGACGTGGCTCCAGAGGACAACAGCAGGACATTAAGGCTAAAACATGATAATATGAGTCAAATTTGAACGCCAGGGCTTACAAACACATGAGTGACACCACAGGAGCACAATAGAGGCATTTCAGGTTTTTTTTAAGTTTTAATATGTGGTCCCCAGTTACTTCTATTGTATTGGATTTGGCTGCAACACTGTTTAACCCTGAAACTCCTAAAGTGTTTTCCGGACTCAAACACTTCACCCACCCCTCCATCGGTATAGTGGTGAGTAGATGAGTTTTCAATTTTGGGTGAACTATCCCTTTAAGGCTGGTTTTACGTGCAACTTCTTGAAATTGATCAATGGAGGCGAAGTAAAAAAAAATCTAAATGAGAATCAAACTTTGGGATGTTGTAGAATTCAGAGGAGATGATGCAAAAGACAAGTTTCAGTCTGAAAATGCAACAAATCCGAACACAGCCTGTATCTGCATGGATGTGCCCGATGCAGGGAGAGTGATGGGGAGTCTGCATGAATCTGATGGGTGGTTATGGATTCCACAACATGCAACAGTGCAACGACACCAACTTTTCCGTTTCTCGGTACTTACGTGAAGACGAAGAACAGGGAGGTGGAGCCGACCAGGAGGCAGGCGGCCGTGCACACCGGGATGAAGGCGCTGGGCTTCAGCGAGTCGGCGGCGGCGGCTGCTGCGGCGCCGGCGGGCATCCTGACCTCTCCTCTTCCTCCACACTCTCACCACCAGCGGCACCAGCAGCAGCAGCGGCTCATTCTAACGAGGGCGACCGCACACACGCCGGGGAAGTGTTGCCGAGAGAGAGCACAAAGAGCCGGGAGAGGAAAAAATCATAGTCATGTGGAGGAGGGAAGGATTCAAACCAAAGAAAGCCCGGAGCTGTGTGCGCGCAGTCCCGCAGCTCGTCCTGTGAGTCCCGGCTGGCTGCAGCGCACAGATGCCGCCTCTGGTTTATCCCAAAGGTGGAGCTTTGACTCATGAATGACGCGAGGCAACAGTACAGACCTCCACTGACTGACTGACTGAGATCCTGCTGCTCAGAAAACACATGCTATTCTTCTTTACATTCAATTATATTGATTAACAAGGTTTGGTCCACCTCCATTATTGATGCATGTTAGAAAGAGGTGACCAATAATGTGCAGAATCTGATCATCAAATAAATGATCTGTATCATCTGCCTTTATGAGCTGTTTCCACAAAGTGTATTTTTCAATCAGGCAACATGTTTTGCACCAGTTAAGTAGGAGAGAGGTTTGGTTTTTTATTTCACTGAGTTTCTCAAAGACTATTTGGACGAGCGCTGGCTGCACAGATTTCCCTATTTAACTTTGTCTCAATAAGCACAATAATCTTAAAATGTGTCTGGTTTTACTATGATATCATATTATTATTAATTTATTAATAGATATCAAATATTGGTTGAGTTTTGTTCGCTTGCACCTTAAACTACCTTCAGACAATGGCAGATGCTATTCAATCTCTTTCAGTGTGAGACAGGAAGAATGGAAGGATACGCAGCATACTAAACTTTAATTGTAGTATTTATTGTATAAAACTGCAACTTTTAAAAACTAATTTTGCTGGAAATATTTTGTGGTTTGTTCTGTGGCTCCAACTGTCCCCTATTGTAGCTGTGCCCAGTCTCTCCTTCCTTAGTTATATCAGTGGTTCATGAGTCAAATAATTTATAGCAGTTATATTAATAAGAACAGCTTAGGTTGCCAGGTTGTGGAAAAATTCCTCTGCAGCATCACACTTGCATTATCTTTTTTAATGCACTTTTGCTTCATCAGGAAAACCAACGGTTTATTAGCCCACTTACCAACTACATGAGGTTTGCAGAGCATCTGGGTCAGAATCCATTTATCAATTACTTTTAAAATCAAACTGCTGATTGGCTAGCAAATGCCAAACTAGAAAGAAGTGCCAAAACGTCTGCTGACATCAGATACATGCCAGTTTCCACAAAACGTAGATTTGAAAGACAATCACGTTTGCGTTGCAGCCGAGATGTAAAATATAAGAATGAATGACGACTCACTTTGTGCAGCTGTTGGGCTGTGATAAGAAGAAACCACCTCCATCTCAGTGGGATCACGTAATTGAGGCTGCATGGGAAAAGAAAATGACATTGACTGCAACTAGGGTTGGGCCTCTTCTTACCCTCCTCTATAAATGTCAGAGGACCAAAGCATCCCACATTGCGAGCTGGGGAAAACCGTTGAAATCATGGATGCAGAAGAGTTGATCGAGTCCATCATCAGAGCTTTCATGTTTCTCGCAGGGATCCTGGGAAACAACTGGCTGGCTATACGCTCGCTGCCCAGGCAGAAATCCAGCATCCGCACCAACGAGGTCCTTTTCATCAACCTGGCCGTGTCCAACCTCATCACCAACTACCTGGTGGACCTGCCCGACACCATCGCAGATTTTGCCGGCCGGTGGTTCCTCGGGGAAACCTTCTGCAGCGTGTTCCGTTTTAGTGCCGACCTCTCCGAGACCAGCAGCATCTACACGACCTTCTTCATCAGCACTTTCTGGTACCAGAAGCTGGTCGGCTCCCTGAAACGTGGAGGAGCGCCGGTGCAGCTGGACAGCCTGTGTCTGGTGGGAAGTCTGCTGGCCGGGAGCTGGACGGTGGCCGTGGTCTTCGCCATCCCACATTTTTTCTTTGTCACAGTTGAGGGAACAAACGGGAGTCACGAAGACTGTATAGACGTCTTCCCTAACGCACTTGCCCAGCAAACCTACGAGATCTTTTATTTGACCCTGGCTAATGCTCTCCCCTTGGCCGGGATCGTATTTGCCAGCATCCAAATTGTCATCACTCTGCTTCAAAACCGGCGACGCATACAGGGTCATAACTCTGAGGCCACCAAAGATGAAAAAAGGAGTAGCGAAACCAGAACTGAGGAGAGATGTGCCATCGCTGACTCTGGACCAGGAACCTCAAAGAATCTCAAAGATTCTGCATCAGTAAACATTTACACAGGCGTCCCTGCCTCTTCCTGTACAAATGGAGCACCGTCTGGTCACAGCGCTCCCGTCAACAGGGAGACAATCCCTGAGAGTAAAGCTGGAGCTCCACCAAATCTTCCCAGGCCTAAACAGCCGGCTAAGCCCGCAACGAGCTCAGGCACTCAGGTGAGGGCAGCCAAGAGCGTGGTGGCGGTTGCCAGCGTGTTCCTGGTGTGCTGGCTGACTCATCTGCTCCTGCGCATCACCAACAATATCCACACCTCATCAATAGTGGTGGAGGTGGCCAGCTACATCGCAGCCTCCTACACCTGCATCATCCCCTATATATTCCTGCACGGTGTGAAAAAGCTTTCATGCTCATGTAAAAGGTAAACGTGTACAAAAGGTTTCTGCTCGGTGATCTCACTGTTGTGTTTCTCCGATGATTAAAGTGCTCTCAAAACGTCTACGGCTCGTCTGATATCCACATAAAGTTCTAAGAGAAAACTAAATGAGACAGAGCTTTGAAAGGGGCATTCTGTTATTATCTTTTAATCTGCAGAAAACATCGTTATGAGAAGATATGTATTCTATTGGCATAATTTTCTCTTAGGACAGATGCTTATCTTTATCGTTTCCGCAGTGTTTAACCTCTCAACTGGAACGGTACTCGGAGCACATACCTAGTTTGCACCTTATTATACTTTGTCCTGCTACAGTCTCATACTAACCAAAGTTCTTCATGTTTTTACTGTCCAAGCAGACCAGTCAGACCTGGAATGCAGTTGTCTCTGTCATGCGAGAACTTGTATTTCACTCTTTAGTCTGTACACGTAACTCTGAATCTGTTGCACGACCTTTGAGCATGTACATGTGAACCCCCGCTATACCATGCCATGGATTGAATAAATTCTTTGGGAAACACTGAAAAGAAATGTCTCCTTCCTTGGGCCATGTCCCACCCCTGCACAAAATTGCATTAAAATCAGTTCCATATTTTTTGAGTAATCAGCTAATTCCCAAATAAACATAACCTCCTTGGCAGAGTTCAATATTAAACACCTTGTAATTTAACATTGAAAAGTGCAGTGTAAAATATAGGTTAATACATTTAGTATCACAAAAGGTAAGATGATTATGAGCATGGTGCAATGGCTGCTCTCACTGTGAATTACAACAGCACAAACCCTAAATTTATTCCACTTACATTTTTGTTTCTACAAAGATGCCTTAAGTCCTATTTTAATTGACGTGCTTCATGAATTTTAATATGTTTCTTGATAGGACATAAGGAAGCATAATGTGTTCAGAGGTTTATACTAAACTATGAGCTCACTGAATTCAAATTAAAGACAAATTAACCCATGATTAAGTCAAAATTATTGTATTTTTAACGAGGCTAAAATTAAACAGAATTGTAAAATACAGTGCAGAGCTAATTGGAGGAAAGGACCTCTAGTAATTACCGCATTGTTGTAATGAGTGTAAGAAACCCTGAGCGCTGTTTTCAGATTAAAGATAATCATGTAAATGCACAGTGACGACACTGGGTGAGTTACTGGACGCCTTCATTCACATTATCTCAGCAAATACATCCTCATGACTGCTGAGTTGAAAATTAACACAAAACTATGAGGAACAGAGGTTTGTTGGTTGAACTAAGTAACAGAAGTAGTTGCTGTGTCATTTTTTCCAAAACAACCTCATACACAAAATCAATTACAAGTTTTATTTCTCCATAAAAAAATGTTTTATCAATTTTTTTTCTCAACGCAGACCAAGTCGTCAGTGTAGCACCGTGAACCGTGTTAAAAAACATTCTGCATTCATTACAAAACCACTCACACACAACAGCACTGTTAAATGTATCAAGCGAAGTAGACAAACTGCTCACTGGAAATAATACACATGAAAATAATGTTTGTGTGAAGGACCTTTGGAGGAGGATTATGGCCGAGTTATGTACATAATTACATTCAGAACCAAGTTTGGAGGCTAAAGCAGAACAAACTTTTACCCCTGTGGTGAAAAGGCTTTAATCGGGTATATTGTTTAAAGTGTTTTCATATGAAAATAACCAAAATTAAGTGTGTATTTTCAAAATATGAAAACTAACCTGTAAAATTCTGAATGGTTTCATCTTTTTTTATATAAACAAAGGAAACTGAAATCTCCGACAGAGCGATTTGCACACAATGCAAAGCTTCTCTCTTTTTGCATTTCAGCATAATGTTCAGCTGGATAACAAAACGCATTAAATAAGTTATAAAATGTGTCTCCTCAGTTTACCACCTGCTTCCACTGTCCCTTAACAACAAACACATCAGACTGAAGAGACTGAGGGGAAACTCTGCCGTGGAATACAAACATCATCATGTTCTGTGTGTATAATCACACTTTCAATTTGTTTTTAAATCAGGTGTTAGGTTAAGGCCGACAGTGTGAGATCCAGAGGTCACCTGTCCCACGTGCTGATGAAGGATGTTATTAGTAACGTCAGTGAAGTTTCTCCAGCTTCGCCTGCAGCGACTTGAAGTTGCCGATGGTTTGTTGAAGAGCCGAGTTTGGGCTGAGAGACTGCAGCTCCACCAGGTACCCGCAGATGTTGTCCAGACACACGTTAGTGAATCTGCGTCTGAAATAGGTGGAGAACAAAGCATTTAACGTCAGTGCAGGTTTGTTGCTGGTTTTGGGAGATACATGGTCTGTATTTCTAAAGTCTTGATGAACACTCAAAGCACTTTACAGTGAGGAAAACAGTGAAAGCAGCGCTGGACATTTTTTTACGAACAAGTTATCGTCCAGATGTACATTCAACCTTATTTAAATTGTCTACTTCAAATAACATCCTGGCATATTAGTGTGGGGAGGGGGAATCACTGACTGTCAGGCTGCAGCACCAGCTAGTGGCAGGCTGAGCTGAGGTGGAGGGACAGTAACACAGACTGTAGAAGCTTCATTTTATCTTAACCTGAATATCAATTTTCATGCATTTTGTCCACTATTACATACATTTATGAGACCTTCATCCGAGAAACAGCTACCAACATTTCAGAGTACGTTTTAAAAATGTGAGTCTATTCTTTGATCAAGGGCCCATCTAAAAACAAAGCCAGCACTACAACGCCCACTGCAGGCCAGCAGCTGAACGCCCACTCAGACAATGCTTGCCTGTCATAGGTCGGTACTCTGCTGGGATCATCCACATATCCCGAGAGCAGCACATGGATACACTCGACCAGGTGGAGAGGTTTCTTCAGTCGCTGCCAGCAGGGATCCTACAGGTGAAAACACAACAAGGGAGGATAATGACAATTTAGAATAAAACTTAAGCACAGAGGTGATTAAGTGGGAAATAATATTTTATCATAAGCATGTACCCGTGTTTTGAAGAGTTGGTCATAGACCTCTAAAAGACGCGGTAACTGTACTCCAATCTCCTGCATGGTGGAGGCGACAAATCCCACGTCCCAGTGGAATCGACACACCTCTTGCTCCAGGAACTTAACCAGGAACTCTACAATCACAGGTCACATTCATTAATATTACTACTGCAAGCAGCATTCGACTATTCATTTACTATAATGCTCGTCCTTTAAGGGTAAAAGAGTGTCCGAAGCCAATTCCTGATAAAACAAGGCAAGACACGAGGTGCACCCTGGAACGGTCTATCACAGGGCTGCGTACTCAGCTATATCATGACTGGAGAAAATGCGTTTGGCCTCTGACATAATTGATCCTGTGCATAAGTTCAAGTACCAAGGATACATATAAAAGGAATCAGTCTCCACAGGGAAGACATGTTTGAACAGGTCTGATGTAATGGGAGGATAATTAACCAATCACCTGCATGACCCTACAGACTTGTACCACAGAGACATACTGACATACATGATGCAGTAATAGGAAGTCTAATTCAATCACTGTTAACAAAATAACAACGAGCAAGCTGGAAAATTCCAACTAGTGGAAAACTGAACTAATTGCAGGATGGTATGATTGCTCACCCAGAGGAAAATATCTTGGTGTTCCAGCATAAATCTTTCCCAGCGAAACCAGTTTTAAACTAAGAGACCTCATCCTGTCTGCTGGACTCATGGCCACGCTGTCCCCCAGCTCTGAAAGACACATTTCAAACATTTGATATTCATATTAATGCACACTGTGGTATAGGAAGTGCACATGGTAAATGTTTGCATGGCTGTTACACTTACCTTTGTCCATGATCTCCTGCCACAGTGAGTGGACCAGGATGGGATCAGAGTGTCCTGCGCAGTGAATGATGGCCAGTTTGCACTCAGATAATTTGAAATGGTCAGCAAACTCCCCGTAAAGCTACAAAATAAAAGGATTACAAACATTTTTAATTCATTGTAAAACAAAACCACACATATTCAATTCAATTCAATTTATATAGCGCCAATTCATAATTTACATTATCTCAAGGCACTTTACATTTAAGATATATATATATATAGATATATATTAATATAAATGAATTATCGCTTAGCAACAATTTAAAATCCCTGATTCCTGTAAACCATCGTGCTGATGCTGCAAATTACCTTTGTGATGTCCATGAGCTCCGAGTCCAACTGAGAGATGATATTTTTCACTGAGGGATGATTGGAGTACTGTCTGATCAGGGTATCCTGAATTTGTACTTGGATACGCGCCAGCTAAGAAGAGGCAACAAATACAAAAAACTAGATAATGTTAGCTCTCATAAATAGATCAAGCCTAATTCTCCTCTCACAAACTGCCACCACACGCATACCTCCATCTTTTCTTCCAGTCCGTGAAGGAACTCTCCATCGGACGCCTGAGCTGAGATGCAGGACGAACTCTTGGCAGACAGAATGGCTCGGGCGATGTATTCCAAACGCTGCTTTAGAGAGATCTCAGTGCTGCACGACCAGAGAGTTGAACAATAGGTAACTTTTTAATCACACAGTTAAAAAGGGTCCTTGTACTGTATTTACATGGAATATGTGGTAACCAATGTTTTCTGAAGGAGTCAGTGTTGCAGGTTAAATTCTGGATTTTGTTGTTCTGTTGTCGTGTATCCAAACCTGAGCATGTCAGCGAGGCAGGACAACACATTAGCTGCCTTGCCGAAGTTTCGGTTCTTCTCGTAGTAGCGCCACAACAGGTCCATGTTGTGCACTTTATTCTGGTCCTGTTTGATCATATGCATTAGGTGTTCCTCCAGGTATGGAGAATTCACCTGGACAACAGATAGAAAATGAAAAGGCAGCTTTTAGAAAGACTTCAAGTGCTCATACCAACAGTGTTTCCCAATTGCAATTTAAATGTAATTAAAAGAAATTAAGATTCAAGTTTCAACTGAAAACAGAGAATTACAGGTGCTTGAACACACTACCTCTAGCAGC